ACTACTAGACCTCAGCTGCCTCTTAACAAGGGCTGCCTGCCTCAACACCACATTGTAAACCTTCTCCTCAGATGAGATGGCCATTTCCCCGGCTGGACTGACTACCATACTTGATGTCAGAGGCATGTTGCTTTGCCCATCAAAGTTAGAGCAACCTAACCTCAAATCTGTGCATATAGAGCCAGGATTCAACCTCTGGCTCCTACCCTTCTTGGCTCTAGAACTAAAAAACAAACTCCGATCTCGAGATCCTAATCTTGACGAGTCAAAAAGACGATTACCATCTCGGAGAGAATCAAAGAAACCAAAGGAATTTGATAATTCTGAGCTTGTTGATGCAACCCAAAATAATGCTACAGACATGTTGAAATCAAACTAGAAAAATTCTAGTTTCTTTTTTAACTCTTTCCTACTCCTTGTTTCTTCTCCTCCAATCTTAAATCTACACAAAACCCAATTGAGATTCACTTTGAGTTAGGTCAACCCAGTAGAGTCCATGGATTAAAACTACCAATAAGCAGCTTTTCTTTGTTTAAAATACCAACTCTGAAGCTATTCAACAGCAAAAGGAAGCTGAAAGCTGAGTCTTAGCTCCCTGGTAATTAAGCCAAAACTTCAAATAAGCACTCAAGAATAAAGCTAACAGAAGCATTAAGCCATTAATGAACACCAAAACAAACAGATGCAAAAATCTGAAACCATATCATTTTGGCAATAATACAGAAAAAGAAAAAGGACCCAGATTATAGGATCTGCAATGAAAATGTTGAGAACCAGAAGGAAATCAAAAGGGTTGTTTCTTGAGCTTCTTACAGTTACAGCTTTCTTTAATACCAACAGAAATCTTCAATCGACAAAGAGAAAAAATGCAAGTAGAAATTTAAAAACTGAACACATAAAAGCTCACCGTCTATTCCTGCTTGTGGCCACTTGCGAAAGAGTCTGAAACTAATTAAAAACCAGAGTTATAAAGCATCACCATCACTCAGAAACTAACAACGGCCACTACAAATTTGACCCACCAAGCTCTCAAAGCTTCCGGACCCTTTTTTTTTTTCCCCACTGGATCTTTTTTTCCCACCTTTAATTTTTATATATATGTTATCGTATTTTCTTCTTCGTAGATACATATATAAATACATGTATATTTATAAGCTCTTTTTATGAACAACTAGTATTAGCTTTCGTCTGATTCTATTTTTGGCTGTCTATATTATTTATTACTTGGCTGGTCTGATTTTCCTTTTTAATCAATCTCTGGAAATGAAGCGCAAATCTTAGTTCCTTATAGTAGGTTTGGATCCGAACATTCCTGGGTTTTTTTCCGGGTGACCCGATTGACTTAAATAATCATTTGATTTCAAACCGGAAGGGTCTTTTTGTCAAATACATTTTTCCGTTTATAGTTTATATTTTAAATTCTAATTTTTTT